GTATAAAAGAGAAATGTTATGAATACAGCGATATGCAGTAGACAAAGAGTGTTATACACGCCAAACACGTTTTCGAGAATCCTCCAAAAGAATTTTCTTATTTTAATAACGTTCAGTATTTGGGGATACCTGTGGTCCGTCCTATAGAGTTGTAAGGTGATAATCGTGGCTTTGTTTACTTTTTCATCTTACGGCGACTGGTTCCTGGGTAAGAATAAGCCGGCGGCATGGATATACCGAATTGCAGCAACCCTGTGTCGGCGGCAAGATCTGCACAGATTCTGATCCAACTTGTCTTTCCATGGTGATTGTCGTGGTTGGAGCGGAGACTAAAGTTTTCGTGTCTAATCAGGTTTTCAGCTGTCGAGAGCACCAGTTTGGGCAGGGAGAAGTGTGTGATCAAACCATTGTATTCTCCGCTGCTGTATTAGCCTCCGTACTTACTTTACTACGGTTAGCTCCTTCGAAAGGATAAACCGACTCCAGCCATGATCAAGATCATGAAGTTTCTTGGGAGTTTGGTACGAGTGATGTCCCCAGCGTCACTCGGCGTTTTTCATTTTGAGGGCGCATCTCTAGCTTTTTCACAACCAGGTGCGAACTTCAAGGCCGCAGGAAGTGAGGGGATCAATGACTTTCGTTTTAAAAGGCCAGTCACATCGACCTTTGTCACGACACCGTCATTGGGCTTATGCGGCTTTTAAACAAGAGCCAGGTGACCAGCCTGGAACCCACCACACCCTGGTAGTGCCGCCACTGTTTGTTCGCGACTGCTTATTTGTTGCCATATGTCACAACTTATTCACAGCTAACCTTCTTCAGTGAAGGTATAAATCGCTGTTGACAACCCGGGGATGCGCCTGGTAGCATTCGATTCTGCCTACCCGAAGGTACCCTCCGTGGTCATGTCAGATTAAAAACACCTGTTTCTGACCGCCTCATTTGAGAGCTGATCCCCCCAGAGTACTCTTGGAATGATTCTTAGACCCCGGTGATCGGAGATTTCTAATCGTCAACAATCTTCGATCAACGGACGGTGGTGGCCCGGTGGTAACGTCACCAAATCATCACCCCGGGGATGTGTTTGAATCCCACCAACACCGTCTGTCTTTCCCCATTGTCTGTGTTGAATGACAGTCCTTTGACTGGCCGCTTCCTCCTTCCTGAAAATTGTATCCTTGTTTAATCAATAAAAGGAAGTAAAATGAAAAGAAAAAGTTTACACAGCCCTACAGCAAGACAGGACGGACTGCTGCGAAGAAAACTCGTTTTTTTATCTTTAGGCTGATTTCCTTTCTATGCCAAACGGAATTCTTCATCTGTAGATACGATTTTCAGGCAGCATCGACGCGCAGTTTATTGTACCTCGTCTGTAACTTGGCGGTTGGACAGTTGGTTTGAGCGTAGGCATTCAAAACTTTCGACGAATACGGTGGGCTTACTTTATTTGGTGCTGAATGGTATTCTTGCTCGTCACAATGGTCTCTACGGTCATTTTACTGCACGAAAATCGTCTCTTGGTCGAATGTCCTTCGCCCTGCCATTGATTGTCCTGCGAGAACCCTGTAGTCCGGTGAAGTGCCCATCTACTCGTGACACACCTGAGTCCGGTAGCGTTTCCGTCTACTGTTTGTCCTTCACAAACTGTACGAACGGTGGAGAGGGCATGCGCTTCACTTGTAACAGAATTCATTTCGCTCATGTCAGACCTCTCACAGGACCGCTTAAGATTGTGTAACTTACGGTCTAAGTCTACAGCTAAAGCGTTCAAGATAAAGTTGTGTGTGTGTGTGTGTGTGTGTGAAACAGAATGACTAGGTCCCATAATCAAGGAGGACGGCTTGCTGTTCACTCCTGACAGCTGGTTTATGATTGATCCAAACGAAAAGAAAAGCTTCTTGCTACCGAGATTGGCTCGTGGTAGCCGGGTATTTAAACCGTGGACCTTGAGGCCCAAATCATGGTAGTGACAACCACTTACACTGTTTGACGACCATCACCATCACCAAGCAAACAACATGTTTACCACTGCACGAAAAGTAGCATATCAGGATGCCTTTAATTTTCTCTCTTTCTCTCTCTCTGTAAGCGTACTTACCCAAACCACATACAATCTGTTTTAGACCCATCTCGTATCGACGTAAAGTGTTGGAAGAAAATTTCACCGAAGTCCCACACAGGGTGTTGTTATCGGAGAAGCAAATTGTCGAGGTAACCCGAATTGTCCAATTGCCAATCCACTAATTCTATCGCACTCTGTCGCTCTCTCAAAGGATGTGCAAGGACTGAACAAACTCATGGCCCGGGTATTTTCCGAAAACCTAGAAGGTCTTGTTCTCAAACCGATGCATGTGAGTTGTTGTTATTGTTCTCGGTTGCACCGTTTATCCCCGTGTCAGTCCATGCCCTCACAACTGTTTGCCCTCATGCAAACGGTGTGGGCGTCACTCCTTGCCCGGTTTCATTTGACCTTCTCTCTCCCTGTGTGCATGCGCGCGCGCATGTGTATACCCTATCCATCCATCCACGTCCCCCGGGGATTCCGATTCAGAGCAAATACGAACCGGGAAAACGGCACTGGTTAAAAATCAAAAAGGACTATCTGGCCGAAGGAGTGATGGCCGATTCTGTGGATCTGATCGTTCTCGGTGCGTACTACGGGACCGGAAGCAAAGGTGAGTGTGCTGTGTTTGAAATGTGCGTGTGTTGCACAACACGCAGTCCCACTGGACCGTTCATTTTTGTAAAATGTCTCGAGAAACGGCCTCATTGCGAACCATTTTCCTCCCACCCGGCTTATCGTTTGCATTGTTTACCGACAATGACCCCGGACAATAGATTCTTTAATACATCAGGACCAAATGATGTTGAGAGTGTATCGAAAAATCGATGTACCATGTGTTGTGTTTATTGTGAATGTTGCCATGTTACTCCTGGTAAGGTGCCAGCTGGAGGCGAATAAATCAGTAATACCACCCAACGACAGAAAAGACCGTGTAGCCTCTATTGGCATTCCATATAGATCAGGCATTTCAGAAGCGATCAGAAAGATTCGGCGATTTCAACATACACACACTCTTTCGGGTTGATAACACTCTGAAACGCCATCTGGTGAAAGCCAAAGATCCGGTCAAATTGCAAGATCAAAACAACTGCATTTACAAAATCAGTTGTAAAGAATGCCCCCACAGAATTGGGTAAACCAGTAGACAACTTAAGACAAGGAAAACCGAACATAAGAGAAAAGAATAAACATCAGCCTGCGAACAAAACAACTCTGGCAAAACTAGAACGAGACTCAGCGATCGCCCTTCACGCCATAGCCGAAGGTCATAGACTACGACAACCCGAAAATACTCCAATTCGGATTTCGAACATGCACTGAACGCTTGTTTGCCGAAGCTTCGGCCATTAACACCCACTCTGCATGTGCCAACAGAAACGACGGAATCGAGATCCCGAGCATTTGGACTACCCTAACATCCCTGACACGTATAAAGGTCACGGTGCCACTGGACCCCATCTGATAATGAGAGTTGGTATGACAGACAACGAATCATTCAGCCCACCACATACACACACAATGAAATATCCGTTGACTTGGGATCCTTTCCTCTGAGTCATTTGATTGTAAACCTGCCTTGAAAAAGGTTACCCACGTTAACCGAAACGTCAGCAAATATAATTCTCCTCCAACATAGCTGTGTTATTAACGTTATAACATTCACAATAGATTCTTTACTTAACGAAGCGGTCCAGGTCAGGTTCGTTCAATGTGTGTGTGTTGCCTTTAGACTTTGCACCTTACTCCATGTCACTTTCATTCGATCACGTTCCGTGCAAGCTTCATCAAATCATACCGGTTGGAGAAAAAATGTTACTGAGACCGCTCAAAATGACATGGAGAACTACCGAAGACCATGATTGAATTTGTAGGTAGTAGTAGTAGTATTGCAACAGATAACCCAAGAATTTTACTGTCACCAGTGCAGAATTGCGCGCATTTTTTCATTTGACTAAACTGTACGCGCCTTTTGATCCTCGTTGTCTGTGCCTCACGCTCGCGCGCGCGTGCTCGTTCCAGCCGGATTGATGTCCGTATTTCTGATGGGCGCCTACGATCCGGACTCGCAAAAATTCGCCACCGTGACGAAATGTGGGAACGGATTCACCGATGAAATGCTAGGAAAACTCCAAAAAGAACTTAAAATGATTAAGATTTCGAAAGTGAGTTCATGTACTTTCGGTGTGTACATAGTATGTTTCACTGCACATTTATACGGGAGTCGGGCACATATTGGCGCACTATGCCCTAAAATCATTGAATAATGACCAATGTTCCTCCACCATACATACGTTTATCTATATAACATCGAATCATGGTATTGCTTCATCAGTGAACTAGTTCTCAAAGAGCTGCCAAAACAAATTTACCAAATGTTGCAATTGGTGTTACTCTAACGAAAAGACACTTCCTGGTTACGTGTATATGAATGAAGTGACAAAAGATTACCAGATACGCATTACAAAAATTACACATCAGTGTGTGATGAACAACAGACGGACGGACCCCATAGTCATACGGGCCTGCTGTTCAGTGTAACCGGTAACCTAAGCCCTAGGACTTGGAGTGTCGGACCACATAAAGTCCCGCTAGTTTCAGGCGTGGTATAGAACCGAACAACAGCAAAGCTTCCTGTCACCAAAGTTGGGTAGCAGTGATGGGGCTCGAACGTCAAACCACAGGGTCCAAAGCACATCGGTGTCAGCGACTAAACCACTGCGCCACCACCACCACCACCCTGGCGAGCGAAAATAACCGCAAAACCGATCGTGTATTTCCCCGGGGAAATTTCGTCCAATCATCCATATAAATATGTATTTAGTATCATCAATTATCGAATATTCATAATATCTATTTAATGTGTATCTAGGATAGCGATACGGAGAAAACTTGACTCTATTCTGTTTACACCAGTACACAACGATGATGAATAACTTGTCTGTAAACCGCAACAGGTTGTCGGTATCTTACGAGAGATTGTCTTTTATTGCAACGCACCAGAAAGTGGCAATTGATCAGTTCGCTCTATTTTTATGGTCTGCTTCTCTGTTTGTTTGGATTCAATATAGCCATATTGTTACTGTTCATTGATTTATTTACAAATCTACGAAAAACCAATTGTGCTATGAGGCCTTGTCAAAAACATATGCACACACAAACAAAACAGGAGCGAACATTCTATTGCACTGTGCACTGTAGATGACTGAATCTTATCCAGTTGCGAGGAGCACAGTTCCGGGGATGGGACACTCGTAGTGTAGTGTTTTTTTTTTACTCACATTCAGATTGGCATATTCCAAAGTCCAATTCATTCACTTACCACTCAACACACAACAGATCTGAAGAAATCGATAGCTTTTTCCCCTGTTCGTGTTCACCGAGCTGGCGAACACGCCAACACCAACATCCGCATCCCGAGCTACAGTTCTTCCACATTATATCCAACTTTTTTCCTTGTGTTGGAGAAAGATAAATCCCCCGCCTCGACAGTGTGGTTGTTCGAGGCTAGGGTACGGTATCTACTGCAGGAGACTGATAAATGTGATTTGATTGTCAATTTGGTGGACTCCATGCCCCAAAACGGCTGACCCAAGTGCTCAAAAATCCGTTCAGTTCAGTTTGTACAACCATTAACCATGCACTATCGTGCAGCGATTTTGGCTGCCCATCTGGACAAACATTAGGAAAAAGATAGGAAAGGTTGAAAGTAGAGCAGAAGAGAAAATAGAGAATTTCAGTGGGCTAATGTTGCAAAGAAATTGAGAAGATGCACGTGCGCTGTTTACGACATTCAGCCATATCACTCAGTGTCTCTAACCATCGGTTATGATCATCCCGAGGTCTCCAACCATGAAGCCTAAAGGGATCTGTGTGACCCAGACTCCTGGTTAGGGACTTCCTACCTTCGTGCCAGTTCTTAGGTTGATCACCCTTGGCTTTATTCCATCCGCTATCTGCCTCGGCGAACATCGCTCGCCGTGGCAACCTATCTGGTGACATGCGTAACACATAAACNNNCAACGTAATCTATGGAGATCGATCGTTTGCTCCAGTGGGCGACCGCATGTGCCTAAAACTCTGCTCCTAACCTCAGCATTGCTCGTCCGGCTGCCCCACCAAATTCGTGCAATGCTGCGTAGACAGCATGGCTCAAACACCGACAGTCTATCTTTATCCTGTTTTTTATGGTCAAGTCTCCTCACCTCATAGCAGAACTGGTCAAACTGCCACGGCATACATTCAACCCTTCACAGACAGCCGAATGTCGCGATGGCGCCAGAGATGTCTCAAGTTGGCAAATACCAACCGAGCATTCCGTATGCAAGCTGACACTTCATCCGTGATATGTGCTCAACAATTAAGGAGGGTGTGCTGAGTGAAAGTACGATAGCTTTGTCAAACCTGTGAGTATTTTTTGTAAATAAATACTCATGATTTTGGTTTTGGCTTTGTTACAACCGATGCACCGATAGCAGTCGTCCAACTCAAGAAATTGTGGTTTCATAACGCATTCAACTTATAGAAGCAACAACATCAGTGGAAAACAATTACAGATATGCTGTCTGTTGTGGTGTAATCCCATATTCATGTCCGCGAATGAGGCTCTAACTGCTATGGATTGGGTGGAAGAGATTTGCGGAAAGTCAGCGTGTCGCACGAGTTTGACCAATACCTGTAGCGAATGGCTTCAAATTGGCCTAACAATGCAGAAAAACCTGAAATCTCAACGAATGTGGTTATAATTGCTGTGAAGAGGATACGATAAGTTCACTAAAGCAAGTGGTCGACCTCCATAGCTTGCCTTGATCGGGGCACATGTTGCGCGATTTTTTCCGAGGCAGATAATGGGTAGAATAAAGCCAAGGGTGGTCAAGCTAAGGCCTGGCACGAGGGTATGAAAACCCTAACCAGAAGACTCGTTCATATAGGTCGCGTGAGGCTTCTTGCATGGGGACCTCGAGATAATTGTAATCAATGACTAGAGACACTGAGTGATATGGCTGGGTGTCGTAAACAGTGGCGCTCGTGTATCTTTTCTTTGACTGGGCTCTCAACATTCCAATCTTCCGCTCTTTATCCAAGTGGGCAGCTAAAGGACAGCAATCGAAACCGTCGAACGAAGGAGCATGGGTAATGGTTGTACAAACTGAACTGACATGAACTGATATGGGAGCAGAGGTAAATATAGGCTTGTGATGTGGGTGGCATGGTACAGTACCTTTGTCGCGGGATATATGACCAAGAGAACTAATAATATGGTGAAAGAGTGACCACGAACCAACAAGCCATTCCGTTCGTTTGTGCACAACAGCACTCTGACTTTTCTCCCTACAAACAGCAGTCATTGTCTTCACTTCGGCTTGACGGAATCAAATTGAATCCAGTCAGTGGTTGCCTTATACACCCGAGTGGTTTGGCGGTTGTCGGTTTCAGTTTTTTTACACAATATATTTGGATATTGAAAATTAGCAGAATCACACCAAATGAAATCATATGGTGAATCGGACATCGGCTGTTTCAACGAACCAACAAAGCTTACACAATTTTTCGGAATTCGGACCATTTAGGGACAGCCTTCGGATGGCGATGATGATCAAGATGATACGTATCTTGGAGACAAAATCCCTCCGTGCAATAAAGAGCTGAAATTATCGAATGAATCAGATATTAGCGTCGGCATCAATTGTGGAGCACGAAGAGCGATGATCAAAGTTGATATTGACTAACCCCGGTCGATTGTGTGACCAACCAGTGTAGTGGGAGTATTTCAAACAATTTGAGCACGACCGGTGTGCAGGCGATGGAATGGTACTTCTGGATTTCTTGTTTGGGAGCGGTACTCATTCGCATTAGCGAACTTCCAAACAGTCATGGAAGATGCTAGCTGGTGAAATTGAAAGGTTGTTCACACGTCCGTTGAGTATCACACGTGGTAGTTCATCCCAACTACTAGAATTGTTATTTCCCTCAATTTTCCAAAACTGTTTGGGGGAACATGGCGAGTTCGATACTTTGTTTTAGCCTAGAGCTATTGAACATTGAATAGATAGAGTTGTGCATTGTGAAACAGGGCTCAATTCGGAATTGGTTGTTTCGACATCGACGGTTTCTTCTCGGTAGTTTGTTAGTACTGTCTCGCAGGCGTTCTGCAAACTGAAGTTCGCCCAAGATGATATCCACTTGCACCTTATTTGGTTCGATCAACCTAGTAAGCCTTTTTACTTGGGTTTCGTATCCCACTTCGTAGCCCCCTTTTTTCCTCTTGTGCAAGTGGCGGCGATGAATATCTCTTTTCACGGCTCAAGACAGTTTGAAGCGAGCATCTGTGGTTGAAGACCATCATAAGATAACCAGCAGCGTGACAACAGACGACAGAACTTTTTCTGCTGCTAATTATTTCCAGATTCACTGATAAACGATCTCAGATTCGTTTATCAGAGTGTTCTCACCGTCATTTGCCGGTCTCTCTTACTGCATACGGTCGGATAGAGTTTTCTGGGACACCCATCAGAACTACTTAAGAGCACACGTTACTGATCGCTGACAAATTGTAAACTATTTTTTTAAACCAAAGTCCAGTTGCTTATCAAGCGAACAAACGTGGTCTAACGAGTGCAAAGAATTGGAAAGAGTTGAGCTGTCGGAGTACCGATTCGGGTATCGGGCGGACAGTTCAATCTGCGAAGTGATTTGCCAAACCGTGGATGCGGATGACGCTGAACGAACGGCGTATGTTACATGTTCAACAGAACGGATCTGGCTGAACCCCCAATCTGTAATCTAGCATTTTTCATCGCGGTTGAATTTCGTTGCCGTAGAGAGATAAAAAAAATAACTACTCATGAGTAGTTGGTTTGTAAATGCAACTAATCTTCCCAAAATTACTCGACCAGGTTGTCAGCCTGGTGAACCCTAAAATTTCACTTGTGATTCAAATCCCCATTGACATGATCAATGAAACCGGGAGATGTCTCATATGTGGTGCAGCTGAATTGATTGATGTTATTTGATAATGCGAGCCTCGATACTTTCCAATTTGTTAGTCAGATTCAACATTTTTACGATTACCATCGGATTTACAGTGGAACAAAAATACTCGATGGAGGTCGTTTTTGGAAACAATCCAGGGAAATAGGTTGACCAAAGGCCTGTCATGTGTAAACTTCACGAATCAGACTAAGCCTTGATGGAAATTTGAATTGCTCAGTCATTCAGCTTCCAATGGAGATTTGTTGTGCTCTGTGGTCTTTGCCAAGGGATATTACATGGTTCGTGTAAAATAACCGGTATTCGTTGGGTTATGTTTCTTCTCTCCTGCACATATTCTGATTGATACTATTTTCAAATTTATTTTAATCTCCAAGACTAACTTGTTTTCAAATGCAACCGTATTGTTTTGTGTATATTCGATATACAGTTATCTCATTTGAAAGACCGGATAAAGCTGTTTGGACGGCCCTTTCAGAACCAATCCATTTATCCATCACTACTGCGATTCGATGTTTTGTAGGTGATTTAGATACCACTAATCGCAACTTAAGCGTTGAATCATAAATGGACCGGTTCTAGAGGACTTTCCAGATTAATTTACCCGGCGTTACAAATGAGATATTTATGTGTGTGGGTACAAATGTATGAATAAACTGAGGAAAGAATACCGGGCACGCACGCCTGACGAACCGAAACGTCAGGGAAACCGGTCATGTGACTCCAGGGAAATTTTGTTGATTTGTGATATATAGATATATATATATCCAGCGGTCAGAATCAAAACTTTGGGGGAAATATAATTGTTGCATAAATGCGCTTAGTTGAATTACCATCGGTTTGCGCGACTGAGATACGGTTTCACTTTTTTAAACTAATCATACTAGTTAAGCGCATTCGAGTATTGTTTTGTGCTTTATTTGTGTCATGTTAGAGAAATAAGATTGGAGGGGGATGTATGATAGTAAAACGGTCAAGCGTTTAAAATTTCATACCTCCATTGGTCGAAGAGATGAATGATCATAGGAGTGTTTTTGTTGACGTGGGAGGCTAAATTACGGAGTGTTTGCACCATTGTTATTTGCTAATTTGTTTTGCATCATTACAGCATAAACAAACAACCTTCAGAACTCAATTTGTTTCGCCGGTGCAACCGGTGTTTTTTTTTAACTGTTGCATTATTCGTGCAGGATGCTGTCCCATCGTGGCTCAACGTTTCCAAGTCCCTCATCCCCGATTTTGTGGTGGAAGATCCAAAGGTGAGTTAGGTCACTGCAACTGTGTATGTTTCTCGTGGCCGCATAAAACCGTCATTCTCCCGCCAGTCACGATATCCGATTGCACTTCACTGGTAGCGGATTCTCCCTTATGGCTTATTGCTCGTTCAGCCAAGTCGCTATCTCAGAATACTTGCTATGAAAGTTTGCTCTCTTTATTTCATGTTTTTGTTTTTTTCGCTTCTGATACACTGTTCTATTTGCTTTTACATTTTACACCACTGGTTAATGACTTACTGTTCAATCGTGGTAACCGACAGTCTGAACCTAAACTGGTGAACCATGCAGACCCTATCGGGATAGACGTGATGTTAGGAAGCCGATGGACACGGAACCTACCTATCCACTAAGGTTACCTGTTGATGAAACGGCACTAACCTCTGGTCCTGGTGCCAGCCCCTTACACTACTTGCTCACCATTGCCTTGCATTCGTTTGAGGGCACTGATCTGGGCGGCAGACTATTGAATAAGACAGTGCACAAAAATTACCTGGTATAGTGAAACTCCCTTATCTGAACTTGCGGTTCTCTTTCGTTATCTCAAACTGTGCCTGAATGATGTGGTGCGGCGAGAACCACATGGATATTGTTGCAAGGATAAAAATAACACTAAACTGCGATTGGTTTGCTCGACGAGGCAGTTCAAACGCATTTAACCACAAGGAT